TAAAGGTGTAAGGAAAGTGGGAAGGGTGGGGGAAAGGTAATAAGGGAGAGGAAAAAATATGAGAAACTGAAAAAATGGAAATAAAGTGTTTGTAAATGGGGAGGGGAGGAGGGGGTGAAGGGAGGGCAGGGACAAGGGGAAAAATGAGAATCAAGACCAATTATGTAAAGGTACAGAATCCCAATGATGAATGTAATTGTATTGTATACCTAGATTGTACCAATAACCTCAATAAAAAGAAAAAAAAAAGAAAGAAATAAAAGACTAATAAAAGAATCAACCATTGTAGCAAAGTAGATGCCTTTCCAGTGTGTCCTCACCTTCCTCTGGTGGCCTTCTGTAGAACCTTCAAGCCCGCTAGACTGCAGGAGTGCCCTTCCAACTCTCTGTCCATCAAGACGGCACACTCCAAGTACACTTCACCGAAGATTCCATAGGCATCTTGCACCAGAAGGCAGACTCTGTAAAAAAGCATTCACATTTGGTCCTTGAGGAGAGTTGGATCAATACAGAGATCATAATTTCCTTCTCCTTCAGTAGAAATCTACTGTTGTCTTCACTCCAAATGGATGAGTCAGGGCAACAAGGTTAAATCAAGTACACATTTTTTTGGATTTGTATAGGCAGGTGTTTGGATAGCTAGCCACAAAATAAAGAATACTTTTTTGGCATGAAAACAAAACCATTAAGCCAAACGTGTTTGAAAAGCACATAAAGATAATAGGAACATCCTCTCAAATCAAATATATTACCACTGTTCAGGTACAGTGTCTTCTCTCCCATTTTTATCCTGTTCCTAACGAAAACAGACATTTATATGTTTTGTGGATGTTTAATACTGAAAAAAGCTTCAACATGACATTATGATGAGCTTCATAAGGACAGGTACCTATTTACAGATACACACATCCAGCAGGGTAAAAACCAGTGTCCCAGCTGGCAGTAACTTGGACATGATGGATGTCCAAGGACATGATAAGATTTTCCCCAATTTTTAGGTTCAGTGGTTGGTATTTATGAAAACCTATTTATTTATTTATTTATTTATTTATTTATTTATTTATTTATTTATTTGGGTACCAGGGATTTAACTCAGGACTTTGCATTTGAGTCATGGTGCCACTGAGCTAAATCCCCGGCCCATGAAAGCCTATTTATGCCCAAATTTCTAATACTCTGTTTGTACTTTGGGTAAATCAAGTCTTATTTACTACAAAATGATATATTCTTAGAAACAGTTTTATAGAGCCTTAAAAATTTAGCCAGAGAATAACACTACAAAATAGACTGTGGGACATAAAACTATTTTAAAGATAAAACTATAAAGGAAAACAACAGATGACAAATGAACAATGATCAAAGGAAAGTTAATTGTGAATCCATGAGTATCCAGGGCTGCATGGCAAAAGGAACAACTCTAGACTCCCTGATGAAGTCTCCCTGGTCCACAGGACACCCTGGCTTTCAGGAGAGGCAAAGAGAAATCTTTCACGAAAGAAGGCACCTCTAACTGGATTGCTAGTTTGCCATGGATTTAGAGCACCACAGTGCTCTCAAAAGAGCCACTAAATAAGAAAACAAACCATTAAGTGGGAAAAGCTTAAGAAATAATAAACCTGCTGAGGACTCAACAGATTAGAATTAATAGATATAAAATTCAGAATAACTATTTTAAAAAGTTAAACATCACACAAATAATAGGAGACAAGAAGATATAGAACATGACTTGGTAGTTTTGAAGAAGAATAAAGTAGAACTTTCAAAAAGGAAACCTGCATTCATTAAAATCATGAATTCACTGACTAAGGGTCACAAATGACTACATTCACCTGAGAGTGTGCTAATGAGACCTAGGATCTAGGTCTGAATCAGTTACTCAGAGTGCAGCCTGAGAGCTAAGAGAGAAGCAAGAGTGAAGAATGGAGAAACACAGAGGACAGAGAAGGGCTAACATGTGCCTCCTGTGGATCCAGAGGAACAAAAACGGAGGAAGGAAAAGAGGACATTTGTAATCTAGTGCCTGAGAATTTTTCCCAACTGATATATAAGACTCAGGAAGAAAAACAAATAAAAAGCTACAACTAAAAGGAAACCTATTCTAATACATATGCTTTCATGGAAATAGAGAACACCAAAGGCAACAAGATTTTATTTATTATTTTGTGTGTGGTACTGGGTATGGAACCCATCCCCCACAACTAAGCTACATCCCCAAACCTTTAAAAAAAAACTTCATTTTGAGACAGGGTCTTGGTAAGTCACTAAATTGACCAGGCTAGGCCTGAACTAATTATATTTCTGCTTTAGCCTCCCAGTGTGCTGGAAGAAAAACAGCTGCATGCTGTGTTATCCTAAGAATGGACATGTATAGTTCAGTTATAAATTCACCGGAACTTAGTCAGTCTTAGTTAGCTAGAGAAGTATTTATATATAATTGATTTATATGAGCTGAATTTTCTCTGCTTTTGTCTGTTTCTTTCTCTGCCCATCCCCACCCCTCTCTTCTTCCCTCCTTCCCTCTTTGCCTCCCTCATGTACTGATGATTGGCCCTAGAGCCTCTGGACTATGCTCTATCTCCACTGCTCCCCCTCGCCCTCAAGACATAGTTTCCCTAAATTTCCCGGGCTTGGTTCAAACTTGCAATCCTCCTGCCTCAGCCTTCCAGGATTATAGGCATGTACCACCATGCCTGGCTGAGATTTTAAAAGCAAGAAGCACATGTATGTACGCACAAACTTAAAATTTACCCAAGTGGTCTAGCATCTTTTAGCAAGAAGAACAAAATGAGGGCTGAGGATTTAGCTCAGTGGTTCTGCTGCCTGCCTTGCAAGCACAAGGACCTGAGTTTGATTCCCAGTACCCAAAAAAGAAGAAGAAGAAGATTTCAAAAGAACAACTTTAAAGGAGTGAAATTTTGCTTTACATCAAACTTTTACAAAATCAGGACTTTGAGTCAGGGTTTCACTATCTAATATAGGCTGGCCTTGAACTCCTAATCCTGCCTCTGCCTCAAGTGCTGGGATTACAGTTGTGTACTACCATACCTAAGTTATTTTTAGAATCAGCAAAACTATCTTTGAAGGATGGTGGTAAAGCATTTTCTACCTTCAGAGCCTGAAATATTTAGTAAGTATTAGGGTAATTAATAAATGCTTAAATTATGTACTTAAGAAGCACAAAAATATCTTGGAAAATGGGTCTAAGATACTAGAAGTATTAATGATGAAAATATAAACAATTAATAATAATAAATGTGGGATAAAAATAACAGTACAGTTCATAATATTAACTAAGGAATACAGAGATGAAAAACCGGTAATGGGTAGCATGAAAGTCAAATAGGGATGACAATTTCAAATATTTCCAAGTCTTCATATTACCCTGTATGTAAAGTTATTAACATAAGTATAGTATGTATGGTAAAATTTCAGGGGAAATTACTAAAAGAAGAGAAACCGGGAATATATAACTTCCAAGTCACTGCAGGAAAAATGGAATGAGAATTATAGGCAAAAAATAAAAACAAAAATAATGAGGAAAAAAAAGCATAAAAAAGCAAAAAAAACTAATTTTTTTTATTTTTGAGACAGGGTCTCACTATGTAGTTGAGACTGACCTGGAACTCACTATGTAGCTCAGGCTGGTCTTGAACTCACAGCGATCCTTCTGCCTCAGCCTCCCGAGTGCTGGGATTACAGGCGTGAGCCACCACGCCTGGCTGGAACTAATTTTTCATTCATTTTTCCTACCCTCTCACTAGGACCTGAAGTCTGACTTAGGTTCCAGCATGCTATGTGAGAGCAGGAATGAAAATAAACATTTTTATGTTGATTACTCCAGTTTAAGTTTTTATTTTGAGATAGGGTCTTGATAACTGGCTAAATTGCCCTGGCTAAGCTTAAATTTGCAATCCTGCATCAGCCTCCAGACTTCTGGGATTACAGGTGTAAGCCACCAAGCCCAGCTAAAACTGTCTTTGTTTATAGACCATCCTCCTCACCCCCTAGCCATCTCTCCCCACACTTTTCTCTCTATTACATGTTTAAATAGGTAAGTCAAGACAGACCCTTGGCAACCAGGACATAGAGATGGGACCAGGCTGCATTTCCTCAGGAGGAGGTCCCAGACTTCCCTGTAAAAGGTAGAGCAAAGAGGCTCTATGCAGGCTTCACTCATCACATTAAGGCTTACTTGTCTACTACTGATACCTGATTCTACAGGTTAAGGGTTATTATTTGTTAATATTTTAAAGACAAAAATCCCTGTGAATCCAAAGTTCCTCTTTTTCTGTTGTGCTGGAAGGGAGAGGTGATGAACTGGCAAGTACCTTTGTCTGTAGTTTGCTATGGCATTTGCCTTTATCTCAAACAACCTACCATGTATGGGTGTTCTTGTTTGTTGCTCCTCTCTAGAGAGATGATTTATCACTCTAGTCCTTCTTTTGTTCACTCCAGGCCATACCCCTCTCCCACATGGCTTCACTCACACAGCCGTGTCTCAGCGACATGTGGGCTCAGGCCTCAGGTACAGTCATTAGCCCTACTGGTCTGACAGGATTGGAACGGGCATTCAACATTGCGCCTGATAGTTAGCTTATCAGCAGTACACACCAAATTTCATCCACTTGTCAATGCTTTCTGCTTGGTGGAACCCTATCTCCTAAATCAATGCTGGAGTGACAGGTCTGAGCAGAAAAGGGCCACATGATGGACTTGTTTTTCCTGAACCACCAGATATTTACCATAAATTATATCATATTCAGTAAAACCTGATGGCTTTAAAGGGAGACAGCATTTTGTTAAAAACTGTGGCCCTTGCCAAACTGACTTACCTGAATGAGCTGGAGTTTACTCATTTTAACATGGGAATTTCAAATTAGTACATAGAAAGCTTTAGTAAGCATTAGATTGAATGAAATAGGGCAGAGGTGGTGAACCTGTGGCATGCATGTTATTGTATTTCTCTTTTAAGACAAAAGATGTCAATATGTGAGTTGTTTTTCTAAACTAAAACCTTGCTATTCAAGTTTAATTAAAGTATTGGCACTTTGCAATAAATAAGTGGTTTGAGTTTGAGTTTGCCACTCAGTCTCTAAGAGGTTTGTTGTCACTGATATAGGGCTAGGCAAAGTGAATGACGCAAGTAGAGAAATTATTCCTTAGTGGGGCATGTACCGGAGATTGAACTCTGGGCCTTGCGCTTGCGAGGCAGGTACGGGTCCACTGAGCTAAATCCCCAGCCCCTACCTATTTTTTTTTTCCTGTACCGGGGATCAAATTCTGGTCTTTGTGCTTGCAAGGCAGGTGGCACAACCACTGAGCTAAATTACCAGCCCCCAGTGTTTTGTTTTGTTTCTGTACTGGGACTGAGCTCAGGGTCTACAAAGTGAGCTATATCTCCCCTATTTTATTGTTTATTTTGAGACAAGCTCTTGCTAATGTCCCTAAATTGTGCTCAAAT